TTGGATTTGTTCATTAGAACCCTGAATTAGATGGAGAAGAAAGTAGACTTGACTCATTTTATGGGCTTGAATTCCTTTCCCCGAGTTAGAGGGGTTTTCAAAAGATTGTGGTCTTACACTCTTACTAACCTCAAAATCAAGTAAAGGAGAACCGTTTTGAGGGAGTGAAGCATTCAATAGATTATGAAGACTACATGTAGCCAAAAAGGCAATATCTTGATCCCTCTTATACCTGCATAAGTGACAAAGATTTTGAATGATCATCATACTATGTTTCAATCAAAAATCATTATGAATGATCATCTATCTTACAATTCCAATATAGTTGGAACAAATTTTGGTAAAGATGCCTTCAATAATGTTCTTGTAACAAGCCCAACTAACTGACCCAATGCTTCTACAGCAGATGTCCTAACCTGAAGCAGAAGCAATATTAGCAGAACTTTTCATTAAAAGAAACACCCAAATTACTATGTTTTTTAGTCCCCGGTTGTGTAATTTTAATGATGTTGTAATTCACAATTGCAAACCTTAAGATCACGTGAAGTTGCCCAATTTTGCAATAATAACTCAAAGGCAGAATTTAGAAACGACCTGCACTTAAACCCATAAGATCAAAAAGAAAGAAAAATAGTGTTTACATATCATAGTATCAAAAGGAAACAACAATAAAAAAGAAAAATGATTTCTCACGTGACATCACTATCAAGAATTGATGAAAGAGGGTACTCCACACTGTATTGCCAACAGGCTTGACACCAACACCTGAAAGCTGGAAAAAACAATAACACAAATAAAAATAAATGTAAGATTAGAGATAACAGATGCATGTGTATGAAATAACCAATAGATGATAGAATTAGTGAAAGGGAATCATGGAAACAAGGAGTTAAAGGCTCTTTCAGCATACCATTTGCAAAAATTGGCCTATGTTGATCTTTAACATTCCCTAAAATGGGAAGAACTCGGGAAAGCACACCTTTAAGTCTTGGGGTAAACTGCAGAGCTTCAAATAAATGATCATAGCACCAAAAGATATTCAGTTTCAGGACTCGGTTTTGAAAACATGAAAGAAGAGTTACAAGGATGCCAAAGAGTTGGATAGAGGACTAACCATCAGAAGTAGCAAAGTCTGCAAGTATTTGAACCATAGCTGGAAGAGCTGAGTTTTGTGCAGATAAGTGAAGAAATAGTTCTTCCATCATCTATGGAAGTAAATCAGAAAGCTTGAACAATCAGGCATACATTTTGGAGCAAAGATAGATGTGAAAGAATGATGATATTCTTTTTGACTGTTTCTATCTACTTACAAGGTCTGGTAAATGAGAACCAATAGCAACAAGTAGAGATGAAGCAGCCCTTTGCCAATCAGCTTTTATTTCCTACATGGCATATTAAAAGATAGATGCCAAACAATATTATAAGCATTAAATTACAAATTTTGAAATGATTAATCATTAGAGAAACAATACTAAAAAGACTCAACCCAAAATTACCTTTGATGAAATGATCTCAGCAGTGGCAAGTTTAGCAAGTTTGGTCATATAAGCTGTGTCAACTTCCCCTTCTTCAAGGGCACTAATTGCAATCGACATAACTTTAAATACACCAGCAATATTCCCAAACCTCTGCAAATAACAGGAAAAAGAAGTTCAAATAGTCTTTCTTTTTTCTGATTACGTGTGTAATTTATGTTACAGTTAGTGATAAGCCGTATAGTAACACGATGCTTGCGGTGAAATTAGAGTCGCCTTTACGAAATTTTGAGAAGAGGATTACAGAAAAAATACAGCTTCATTAGTGCACAATTATTGAAATTACAGTAATTGTGGAAAAGAGAAAGCTTTGTAAGTTTATGCAATAAGAATGTAAATACCCGACGGCCGCCGCGAGATACCGTTAAGCAACAATCAAGAACTAAAAGCGGGTTCCTGCAATTCCATTCAATTTCAATTCACCAATTCACCAATTCAATTAAGTGTGAAAGCTTAACATTACGTATACACGTATGCTTACAAAGGAGCGAGGGCTTTAAGAGACGCCATGGACGCTTGCTTAACCATTGGGGATTCATCAGCGAGCGATGAAACCAGAACCTGAATCGCCTCTGGGAATCGAAGATAAAAATATATGATGAAAATTCTGATTTAGATAATCGAAAAAACCGTAGAATTAGGGAAGTACCAGGAGCAGGAAGCGAGTTTCCAGAACTTGATGCCATCACTGCATTGAATCAAAGGAAAACAAAGAAGAAGATGAAAAGGGAAGAAAATTGGATCGCAAATTCGCAGTGAGAAGGAAGAAGACAGCCCGTCGTGTATAATTGCCAGGTGGCTTGCGGTGCTTTTTTATTCACCCTTCCAGAAAATTAATACATGTCTCACACTTCCTTAAAAAATATAATGATTATGATCCTAAAATATTTTTAATAAAATAATAATAATAATAATAATAATAATAATAATAATATTATTATTATTATTATTTTGAACAGCAATGTAGGATGATTATTATTTTATTGTTATCTCATAATAAATATATATGAAAATGTTTCATTTGAACGGTTAAGATTGCAAGATATATGTCAAGTGGTTTAGTTTGATTTTATGATTTTACAAACCAAGTTATCTGCATTGCAATTTGACAGGTATGATAATTTAGGCCAAAGGATGCGAAATGAAGGATAAGATAACTGAATTTTGTTTTTCTTAAAAAAAATTGGTTAACTATTTTTAAATTTATTATTAATATATTATTCTTGTAAGCTAACATTATCGGTTCATTTTGAATTAGTAACCGAACTCAAATATTGGGTTCATCAATTTTTTATATTTACCAAACAACTGAAACAAATGTACCTATCACAAAGCAATTATAGACCGCTTGCGTGATCGAAACAGGAGTTGTACTATTGCAAATAGGTGGAAATGGCGATTGGAGGAGTAGAACAATTACATTGGGTAGACTATAGAGACATCTTGATGCACTTATTAACATTCTAGTTTATGTTCATATTTGTTGTAAGTAACATGATACATCATATCACAAAAGGTGAGACATGCAACTAACATAGCTCACGTCTTAGTAGATGTATGCTCAGAAAATATTTTGCACATGCCTTAATGTTGAGTGAGAAGCCAACATATTTACACATCACGACTTTCCTAAGAAATAATGTGTTTCATTCGTTTGAACTCTTCTTAACTCTAGAAGGTCCAATATCACTAATTAAATGTAAGAATTTTGTATGAAAACACTAGTTTCATAAACACCAAAAAAGAATAAAAGTAGAAGCCATATGTAGTAGTTTGCACGGTTTTGCAAACCTCTTGGTATGGCTTTGCATCTTATTCACCGTTTTACAAACTTTCCTCCTAAACACTCGTCACTTCCTCTTAGGAATAAAAGTAGATACTGTATGCAGTGGTTTGCACAACTTTGAAACTCTCTTGGTATGTCTTTGCACCTTATTCACCCCTTTACAAACTTTCCTCGTAAACATCTGTCGTTACCTCATATGAATAAACGAGAAAATAAATTGCACACACAAGAACACAATATTTAACGTGATTCAGTCAACGCGATCTACATCAACAGGGCAGGAGGGAATATTCTTATTCACGAGCTTGAAAACCAATAGTACGATTGAAACCCTAGCTATCCGACGTATTATATAGGCAACGTATAAAACACAACCTTAACTAGAACAGGGTCGGGCATAGTTACATGTATCAATGCAGGTTCATACCGAGGAGGGCTCCCCCCCCCCCCCCCCCTCGACGCACCCCATGGGATAAGTGTTTGTCGTGTATAGATCCGGGTCTAACGAACCTCAACCTACTCCGAACACTTTCTTGTTGATATCAGGTGTCAAGTTTCTTTACGGGTCGATATCTATTCAAGTCTTTAAATTTCAAGTCACATTTAACACCACCTTATATGCATGGTTTGTACAAGTCGTCTATAAAGTTGTACAAAAATGATATATCTTTACCAAAATTCTTATAAACGTGTACCTACACGGTACGACTTTACCAAGATCTTGTAAAGCTATACACCCCGCTAAACAAGTTCCAAAAACCTACTAGCAAGATTGTTGTGAAGTCTTACGGCTTAACCCCTAAAGGCATATGTTATTAATAACAAAAGATGAATAGAACTTTAAGTGTATACAATTCCTACAAAAACTCATCATTACACCTTTGATGTGATAGAACAATTATTAAAATCAATGTCACTTTGTAATATGGAAAACATAAGCTACAAATGAGTTTGCTATCTTGTAATGGTTGCATCACAATATAAGTAGACCACAATCAAGGAGTACCTGTGCTAGAGCGGTTATTTGAGAGAATAAGCACCGAAAGTAAGTTGTGATAGCCGATAAGCAATTACTCCGAATGGTTTAGTTATTGAACCCCATTTTGTATGAATTAAGAGTTTGGATAACATAAGTTACACATTTAAAAAATTAACACCTTTATCGACATTTTTAAAAATTAACACTTTTATCGACACTATTAAATATAAAACTGTAGTGTGATACAATATAAATTGCTAAGTTTTGTAGTTTTGAAAGTAAATTAGCCAAAAAAAATTAAAGCTTTATCCTCATTAAGACACGAAAATCGTGTCTCACATTTATGTCATAATACTCAAAACATTTTTTATATAACATGCTTTAGTACTTTAATGATATTTGTTCAAACATTTTCTATGCTCCCATTTGTTTAAAACTTCTCTTTTTCTGACATTGACTATAGTATATTAACTATGAAATGTTTCTTGTAAAATAAATTTCAGAATTACTTCTTGTAACCACACTTTGATTACAAAATTGGTAGTCTTGTTTTCAATTTGTGAAAGAGTTTATATTTTTACACCCTCGTGTTTTAATAATGAACAAACGGGTCCTTGGTCTTTGAAACATTGCACTAACAATATAAACTTCATTGTTTGATGTTCCTCTAAACAAATTGAGGAAACACCAATTTCTGAATCCTCAAAGATTATAAACAATTTCAACCTATCTTGCAAATATTTAGTATGGATTCTTAAAATTTAACTCAATGTGGAGTAAAAATGCAGCAACTATACATACTCCATAGTTTCTATACTTGTGTTCATAAAAAACTTATTCCTATTTTCAACTTAACAATAAACTGAACACTTGTATTATAAATTATCAATTGTAAATTATAATAATTGGATTCATTCATGAAGAGCTAAAAGGTGATCCAACAGGTGCAGCAAGTCCAAGAGATCGCATTATTTTAAACCTTCTAACTTTTCTTGATGTATATAACGGGCAACTGACCTCCTACATAACAATAAAAACATGTCATTTTATATCTATATTTTAAAATAATTTGCAAATTTGGTCCCTGAGGTTTTTGTATTTCCTTTTTTGCAAGTTTGGTCCTTACTTCAAACATACAAAAACCTTAAATAAGAACCAAATTTGCAAAAAGGAAAATTTAGGGACCAAAGTGAAAAAATGAGATAAACTCAGGGACTAAAATTGTAATTTATGAATGTAGGAGAAAAACAGCAAATTGAGCACCCTTTAACTCACATCAAAATGGACTTTTGGTTTTCTTTCACGCTTGCTTCTTGCTCTACCTGAACTCGATGAGTTATCCCTTTCTGAATGAGCAAAAAAGAATATATAAATGTTTGAAAATTGAAGCAATTTTTATAAAAAGTTACAATATTTCCTCTTTTGGAAACTTTCAAGATTTGAATTTTACCTATTTGATCATGTGTTTTAGCCCAAACAGCACTTCCAGGAGTTGTGGATACTTCCCTGATTTCTGTTGGTTGTGATCTATTAGGATTCAGCTCCAAATCCAATGCATCATTTCTATCTTCATAATTTCTATATTCCCACATAAAAAAAATAAAAACTTTGAGAATTTATAATATAAGGGTACCAAAAAAAAGAGTTAAAAATGTGTTCTTGATATTGAGGAAAGATTCAAGTGTTAAAAGTTAAAACCTGTTACTGCATGGTTGAACATGTGCTTTTTGACCAAATGATTTAACATTGTTTTCAGACTCAATGGATTTAAAAAATGGATAAATTGTATTTGTACGCCTTATTGTGTCATTTGACATATTTAACCTCCCCATAGTGACACTTGTCTGAATCTCTCGAAGCTCTATATCTGTTACATTAAAAAAAAAACAGAAAAAATGGACATAATAAACAGAAAGACATCTTTTTTAACCCTAGAAAACAAAAGTAGACACATGAATTCCATTCCATTTCCCCCCAATCAAATGCATGACAGAATTTAATTCCTTCATGTTCCAAATCCTTCAATTCCCAATTCCATTGATGGATTTTGATTCATTCAAAAATAGTCTACACCTTTTAATTTATGTGTACAACTTTGACAATGTTATGGGGGCATTCTTTCACAAAAATTCAAATATCTCATAAATGCAATTATCCACATTTCCCTCCAACAGTACTTGATAAAGCATATAAAATGTCCATGTAATGTAATCTTTATTTATCATCAAATCAATCACAAAGTAGAGATTCTTATGGATTGATTGGATTCAATATATATTTTCTATTACAAGCATCAATTTTGGTCAAACAGATGAGCCTATAGACCATTAAGGTTACTCATATGTGAAACCTAAGGAACCTTGAAGGTGCCTTTTTTCCATCAATTATGTTCTAAAGAAAGATGAAACAATCACACTAAAGAAAAAGGACTAAAAATCATGCAAACTAACTACAGTAAGCAAATTGTGCACTCAATTAAGAGATAGGTAATTTAATAGGGAAATATAAATTGCAACAGGTTGAATTTTATGCATACATGAATAAAGGAATCTAAAACTATTCATAGAAACCCTAATCCGAACAAACATGCAAAAGTACCCGTATTTTTTTCGGAAATGGCTGATAGATCAAGCCAATTCATACATAAATCAACACATATGCTTCATATATCAAATCACAAGTCGCAATTTTCGGAACACAAGTTCGAATTTTGAAAAAGGGAAAGAGTTAAACAAGACCTTTGGAGGAACAGATGGGAAGAAAGAATTCAGTGCGAGGTTTGGATGTAGAAGCACTTCTCGGAAGCTGAAAACACTTGGGTATGTGATCAATTTGTCGGGTTTTCTCCGTCTTATTCTTTCTGCAATACACCTTAACCTCCATTGCCATTGCAGCGCTAAGTTGCGAAATAACGAGAGAGATGGAGAGGGAGAATGGAAGGCTATAGCTTTTGATGGATTATTTGGGAAAGAGCATGTATATATGTAGGAATTGACAACGCAAAAATTGGATTGGGGAATCTTGAATGGGTCGCATTGGATCACTCTCTTCTGACCCTTCTTCCCACAAATTTCTTTTGGGGTGAAAACTTCAAATACAAAGTTTCCCAAATGCATTATGAACCCACATCATTCGTTTTCTTTATCGTGTTATAGTACAGAAGTCATTCTATAATAAAAACGTATTGGATAATGTCACCAAGTCTTGTAATATTGTCATTCTAAGTTTAGTAAGTTGGTTGTTGATATAGAGCTCTAAAGAAACATTTTATCATTTAAGTTTAGAAGAAAAAAACATATTATCATACAAATTTTTTCTTCAATCTCGATGATTGATCTATTTGACGATCTTGTGGTGATCGATCTATTTGCCAAGATATCGATTCTTTATTCTAGTGTCTAGAATATCAAATTGCTACTAATTAAAAACATCTTTGGAGCAAGAAGGAACTACACTCGGAAAGATAGGTGTTCGAGCATGTTGAGAAATTTAAGACTTTCATAAAATAGTCATTAGACCATGTGTTATACTAATCTTTCATCTTTCATTGTCACGTCAGTGTCACATTATTTTTCGCCATTCATCTTTTATTCAATCTTTCGCTCTATGTTATGCTAGGAATCTTTTATCTTTCACCCATTTTTTTATTTTTTTAATACAAAAAACTAGAAGAAAAAAGAGGAGAGAGAAGTTTCTGCCACGAGGGTGGAGTCACAACAGGATCGTTGTTGTACGAGTCCATAATGGCCGACATGGTGTTTTTGTCTGATGTCGTAATGGCTAGGTAGGACTTTATTGTGTGTGGATGGGTATAACACTGCACCTTTTAGAATCTTTTTTTTTAAGTTTTTATGTTTACTTTAGGTTTAGTTACAAGACATGTGTTTGATTAGAATTTGAATAAATACACCATACATACCAATCAATTTTTATAATTTAAATATATTCTTAATCTAATTGTAAGTAAGCATATTAATATTATCCATCAAGAACATTGCAGCCCACCTTTCACTCATGAATATGATGTCGTTTATTGCCTTCTAAATCATCCAAATGGTAACATAAACAAAAGATAATTGCAACTTCTGAAACTTTTTGCATCCGGCACTTATATTCAAAAAATCTGAAAGATCATAACACGACCCAGGTTGCCCCTACAGAATTGAGGACCACTCCACAAGTCATTTCCAAACAATCAAGGTGAAGGAGCACGTGAAGAAAACATGATAATCAGCTTATAGCAAATGGAGTTTGGGTGGAAGTAGAGAAGATGGATTAATGGTTGTATTTCCTCGAGTAAGGCCTCCGTTTTAGTGAACGGCTCTCCTACTAAGGAATTTGAAATATCCAGGGGTGTTAGTGTTAGGCAAGGTGATCCCTTGTCCCCTTTTCTTTTTATATTCTCTATGGAGGGTCTTCACATTTCTATTAAATTGTCATGTGAGCTTCATTATTTTCGTGGGCTTTCACTTCCTCATAATAATATCTCTTTTCACACCTAATATGTGTTGACGATGTGACTTTCATTAGCGAGTAGTAGGAAATCAACTTTGTTAATCTCATTCGATTGCTTTGTTGCTTTTTCTTTGCTTCGGGTTTAAAAGTTAATTTACATAAGAGTAAAGTTTTGGGGGTTGGAGTAGATAGTGTTGAGGTTGAAAGACTTTCTAGTGTCTTGAAATGTGAGCTCGCTTCTTTCTTTTTTACTTATCTTGGTCTTTCGGTGGGAGCCAATATGAGGCTTGTTAAGCATTGGAATTTAGTGATTGATAAAGTCAAGGGTAATCTCTCTAAGTGGAAGGCGAATTGTTTATGGTTTGGTGGAAGGTTTACCCTTTTCAACTCAGTTTTAATCAACCTTCCTCTTTTTTGTTCTCATTTTTTCGGGCTCCGAGAAAAGTTGTCAATACTCTTGATGGTATTCGTAGGAGTTTCCTATAAGGTGGAGATGAAGATAAGAGAAAATCAATTGTGTGGCTTGGGAGGTAGTCAATAAACTGAAAGCTCTTGGACGCCGGGTATGGGATGTCTTGAGTTGGCTAATTTGGCTCTCCTAAATGGTGGTGGAAGATCAATAATGGACATGACTCCTTTTGTACCTCTTGTATCAAATCTATTCATAATATAAAACTAATTTATGGAAAACCTTTAGCTAAAATATCTATAAAAGGTGTGTGGCTCGATATCTCGCAAGTCAACATGGATTTTACGAGAAAGGGTATTGTGCTTACTGACTTTTTCAAAAGGAAGGTCGATATAGGAGATAATACATTTTTTTGGAAAGATATATGATGTAGGGACATTTCCTTGAAAGATGTTTTTCCAAATCTTTACATGTCGGAGGCCAATAAAGAATGTTATGTTTTGGATAAAGTCTCAATGGGAGCTGATCAGGTGAATCGTTATAATTGGGGTGGTCAAGACAGTTTATGAGGGGTAGAAAAGATGATCGGTTTCTCTTTTGACCAACCTTTTAGTTAAATTTCAGATGTCAAATGATCATGAAAAGGTGGCTATGGAACAATTCTAAAGGTGGGAAATTCTCTGTCAAGTCATTGATGTATGTTCTCCATGCTCCGGGTGTGGTGGCTACTGTGGCTCCGTTTAAGTGGGCGAATTGGATCCTTCTTCAGATCAATTGCTTCGTTTGGAGAATGTTTCAAAGCAGGATCCTTACTTATACAAATTTTTCGAGTAGGGGTATCATTATCTCTTCCGTTCTTTGTCCATTATGTACTCCGTAGATGAGCTGATTGATCACGTCTTCTTCACGTGCTCCTTCGCCTAAACTATGAATAGGTCTAAATAAAAAAAAAATAAAAAAAAAAAAACTTGATTGGCATGTCTCATCTTGCTTCTGTTCTCTATAGTTAGGCTTGAGCTTGAAACTCATACTTTTCGAGTATGTTTATATCAATTTTATTTAATGCAATTAATTAAGAAAATAAGGGTTTTATAAATAAGGCAAAATCACGACGCCACAATGCTTGGTTACAGCGGGCTAAAAAACTCTAAGTCGCGGCATGACCTAAGTAAGGGTTGTGGTCTGACGCCACTATTTTCACAAAACCCTAAATCTCGAGTCTTGGGCCCTATATAATGACACTAACTCATAGGGTTGCCTCATCTGGTAACCTCCATTCTCCAGAATCATCGCCCACGAAACCCTAGCCTTTATTTCTTGATTTCCTTGAGTTTTTGTCACCTTGATGTGTAGCTTGAAGGAGAATGAAGCTTATTTGGTGCAAGGGAACATAGATCCAGAGAAGATGTACCCTTCTCAACACATTTTGGAGTTCGTTACTTGATGTGTTACTTGCTTGGATATAGGATTTGGTTGATCATTTGTCATTTTTGGTCCCATCCTCTTGATGCTCTTGGAGTTTGGGAAACTCCAGAGCTTTGTACTTGGTTCTTGTTGTCTTCTGGTCCTTTGATGGAGAAAAGAATGCATGTTTGTGCTCTCTTGGCTATATGCAAGAGAGGTCTTACCACTTATGGACTTCGTTTAGACCTAGAATATATGGTTTTTTGCATGAGGCTTCCTCATAGATAAAGTTGGAAACAATATCCATTAAGACTACTAATATAAGGGTTCTAGAAAGTTTGAACTGTTGTCTTAAGGGATCAAGTGCTTAACAAGATATAGGAATGTGCCTTGAAAAACGCGACGCAACCAAGGAAGGTTTACGCCACGAATATGCAATCGCCACTATTTTTTCGCCTAGTAGTAGCGACGCGACCATGAGTTAGGTCATGGTGCGTTGACTGTTGACTTTGACCGGTTGACTGTTGACCGTTGACTTTTTGACCAATTTGACTTTTTTTTCAAACGTTAACCAATTCATCAAAACAAACTTTAATCAAAGCATTAACACCACTTTTTCTAACCTTTACAAATTCGAGCATTCAGTTACTTTGATTGGGTTGGTTGCGCTGCCTCATGAAGATTGTAACAGGTTTTTTATGTGTTTACTGGAGAGTCGTTGATTTCATGGAAATCAAATAAACAAATCGTGGTTCACATTCATTAGTTAAGACAAAATACCATGTTATTAGGTCGACTACAAGTGAAGTCATATGGTTACATTTGCTATTGACTTTGGAATCTTCTCTCATGACCCCACATCATTGGTGTTTTGTGACTACAACTAACTATTCACATTGTATCCAATACAAACTTCCATGAACAACCAAAACATATAGAAATTGGTTGCCAATTTATGCAAGACAATTCTAGATCGTACTATCAAGTTGATGCCTATACATTCTCAGCACCAAACTAAACCGCTTCCCATTATTTTTCAAGATGGCTCTAAAAAATATCTACGAGTACATCTTAAGTGTGATTAGAGGTGGAAAATTTTGACACGACACGAAACACGACACAAAATTAACGGGTTTGGGTAAGATATTTCAACTCGTTTAAATAAACAGATTGACACGACACGACACAAAAATTAAACAGGTAAGGTTACGGTTGAGAATTTCAACTCGAATATGACTAAAAAATGACCCCGTTTATTTATATGCAAGTTTTTTTGAATTCTTTAAATAAACTAGAAAGATACAAAACAAAAACAATATGTAAAATAAAACTTTTGGATTGAGTCGTTTTGTAAAGTTGAAATGATTTAGCCGCCTAGATCAAGAATTTATTTTCAGTTTTTCCGTTCTCTCCCAAACTACACAATCCCTTTGACCACTCTCTCATCCTCATGATCTTGTCTTCCGCCTCCCCAACTCCTAGTCTTTCAATTTTTTCATCTGAACTTGTTATGACTTCATCTGTTTTGGGGAGTCTTGGGATATATTACTTTTCTTTGTTTCGTATGCCGGTTACAGTATGTCATTTATTGGAGTCTCTTAGGGCTCGTTTTTTTTGGGGGATGGAGGAAGGTCAAAGACGTATTCATTGGGTCAAATGGGATATTATCCTTAATTTTAGGGATAATGGTGGCTTAGAGGTTGGTAGTTTGGATGCGTTTAATCGGGCTCTCCTTGTTAAATGGAAGTGACGGTTCCTTCATGAGACCTCGTCCTTATGGGTGAGGCTTATTAAAGGGTTGCATGGTGAGTCTGGGGCTTTGTCTCATAATGCGCGTTCGTTAGGAGATATGGGAGTTTGGAAGAGAATTGTGGATTGTATTA